TGTGCTAAATTGAAGGCTGGGGTTTCGACGCCCACCTCCCCTCCCCCTCCGTTCTTTTATTCTCTCCTTTCTTCATTCATGCATTTCCCTTGAAGGTCTATTATGTGGAAGGAGTGAGGCTCTAAGACGGAACAGAATCGGCGCTCAGGTCTCCAGCATAAACGCGATCTCCCCGGTAGGGAGCTGGTGGGTTCTGGCAGCCCCTACCCGGAACCCGTTTGCTCAGCACGGGGCGGCCAGCGCACGCGCAGTTTCTGGCCACAGCGGGTGCTCAGTGACGTTGTTTCCGATGTTTTTAAATGAACAGGGGCTAATTGCAAATACCCATATATAGATCCTAGGAAGCACAACAATTTCATTTATGAGAAACCTTAGGAAAGGGCTTTTTTTTTTTCTTTTTGAGACAAAGTCTTGCTTTGTTGCCCAGGCTAGAAGTGAGTGCCGTGGCATCAGCCTAGCTCACAGCAACCTCAAACTCCTAGGCTCAAGCAATCCTTCTGCCTCGGCCTCCCAAGTAGCTGGGACTACAGGCATGCGCCACCATGCCCGGCTAATTCTTTTCTCTCTATATATATTAGTTGGCCAATTAATTTCTTTCTATTTATAGTAGAGACGGGGTCTTGCTCTTGCTCAGGCTGGTTTTGAACTCCCGACCTCGAGCAATCCGCACACCTCGGCCTCCCAGAGTGCTAGGACTACAGGTGTGAGCCACCTCGCCCGGCCAGGAAAGGGCTTTACTATATGCCCAGCTTTCTAAAAGGACTCCAGACCTGCTTCTCATCCTGGCGAGAGGCAAGGACGTGCAGACTCTCCTCGTGGATGCGAAACTCTGAGATGATCTTTCCGATGATTTGTTGGCGCGCTGACCTTTCTGCGGACGGCGTCTGCAGCTGCTGGATGTTCGAGGAAGACACGAGAGCGACGTGTCGTGAGGCGGGCGGTGGGAAGCTCAGAACCGGCCGGCGATCGATCGATCAATACAGACTCACGCACTTCTCTGGGCTGGCTCGATCTGGGGGTACCGTGTTTCCCCGAAAATAAGGCAGGGTCTTGTATTTATTTTTCCTCAAGAAGACACCCTAGGGCTTATTTTCAGGGGATGTGTTATTTTTTTTAAGTACAGTACAACCATCTACATTGATTCAAATAGAGTGAAGTCATCTTCTGGAACATCATCCTCACTCTCCAAACCCCCAATCCCATCCTGAATGTCTTGCGACTCTATTTCCTTTAGAACCACTGGCCCCAATCTCCCATGTCGAGCACTAGAGCTCTCATGGGGCAGGTGAGAAGGGCTGCTCGTCTTCTTTCCCGCTCTGCAACGACACGCACGGGTTGTGCAGATGCGCTGTGTAGCCACGCCCATCACTAGGGCTTATTTTCGGGGTAAGGCTTCTATTGCACAAATGCTTAGAAATCCTGCTAGGGTTTACTTTATGGGTAGGTCTTATTTTCGGGGAAACACGGTAGGAAGCGGGGCATTAGGAGTGAGGCTGACTCTGAGGCAGGCTGCTGCGCCCCTGCCGTGGGGTCTCTCTCGCGAGATCTGCTCATACCCCCTGCCCTAGCTGGGGCTTTGCAGCTAAAGCAATTGGTGCAGAAGCAGGACAAAGGGGCAATGCCAAACGTGCAGACTGGCTGGGTCAGTAGTCCCCGGGCATGAAAGAAAATGAGGCTGGGTCGGAAAGCATTCGATGGCAACTGAGACAAAATTTGAAGGACAGCGAAAGATAATCACACGTCAAAGTGAGCAGCAGTTCTTCTCGAAAAGACGGACATCCCGAGGCACCTGTGCGCCCATGGGAAGGGCCGGCAAGCCGCCAGGACTGGCCAAAGGCCTGGAGGACACGCACTGAGGCAGCGCCCAGGGCTGCCCAGGGCTCGGCTCTTCCTGGGGCTGGGGGCACTACCCGTCCCGCCAGCGGGCAGACGCACAGCCCCCCAGCCTAGAGGGTGCTGGGCGCCAGGGTGGTGGGGCAGGAGGGTGGGGATGGCCCAGTGCAAACCCGACCCACCCCCGAGTCCTGCCACAGCTCACTTTGGTGGAGATTGTGTTGCAGCAACACAGTGACCCAGGTACGCAAAGCAAATCAATGTTGTTGTTTAAAACCAATCCTGGGCCGGGCGCGGCGGCTCACACCTGTAATCCCAGCACTCTGGGAAGCTGAGGAGGGCAGATGGCTCAAGGTCAGGAGTTTGAAACCAGCCTGAGCAAGACCGAGACCCCGTCTCTACTAAAAATAGAAAGAAATTAATTGGCCAACTAAAAATATATAGAAAAATTAGCCAGGCGTGGTGGCGCATGTCTGTAGTCCCAGCTACTCGGGAGGCTGAGGCATAAAGATCGCTTGAGCCCAGGAGTTTGAGGTTGCTGTGAGCTAGGCTGACGCCATAGCTCTCTAGCCTGGGCAACAGAGTGAGACTGTCTCAAAAAAAAAAAAAGTAATTAAAACCACTAAGACATGGCCACCTTACTTGGAGGAACCCTCAGATCCAGACTCAGATCTTTTGTGTTATGAGTGATGCTAGCAACTTGAGTTTCTCATTCACAGCAGATTTGAGACCACAGATCGGAAGGGGACTGAAAGGCTGCTGGCAGCAGATGAGACAGGGGCAGCCCCTGTGCCTGCCTCTGTCACACAACAGGCAGCAGAAACACTTGCTGGATGGCTGAGGAATGAGTGAGAGGATCCATCTACCCACTGTGCTTCCAACAAGCATCTGTTGGGGATCAGGAGCCAGGGGCCCCGTGGCTAGGACCAGAACGGGAGAAGCAAGGAGAGGTGGCTCCCCCCCTCCCGGGGGCTGCAGCCTGCAGGAGGGACACCAGGCAGACAGTCCCCAAACTCCAGTGGCCACTGTGACCAGTACTTCCCAGCCCAAAGACACTCTGGGAGGCTCCCAGTGCTGAGGGTGAGGTCTGACACATCGTACAACTTTACACGGAACACGTGTGCCCCGAGGCAGACAGACGCAGCGCCACGAGCCGGTTCCAATGAGAAGTTGCTTCAGTGGGCTCAGTTCTGCGGAATTTTGACTTCTTCTTCTTTACTGTCACTTTTTACTCCTGTGCTTGAGAATATGTAGAACATGGAATGACAAAAACAACAACAACAACAAAAAAAACCTAGAGAACTAGTAAAGATGGTAGCCAGGCACTTAGAAAAAATAAGTGTCTAATAAATGGAAACAGTAATGAAAAACCACTTTTCGCGTTACGCTGCCATTGTCTTGAAATGTACAAACCCAGACTGGAACTGCCATACACAGGGCACCAGCTCAGGACATTTGTCCTCCCAGAGAAAACTGGAGGGAGAAGGGAAACTATTTATCGAGAGCTTATCTTGTGCCAGGCACTATTAGGTGTTTTTATGTTCAGGTAAGAAATTCTTCAGGTGTGGGTCTTATGAAGATTTATAGAGAAATCCACAGAGCGCCAAGCTTGGGTATTAGGACTTGGATCTATTTCATGCACATTTTTCTTATCTTTCTTTGCATATTTTGATGCATTTAGGGATGAATATGAGATCTCTCCTGTGGCTAATTTACTGCGTACAAACCCACCACAGTCTAAGAGTAGCGAAATGGCAGTTTAGTGGGGAGTAGGCCAGCTTCTTATTGCATAGTATGTTAAGGCCGAATTTTAATATCTTCATTAATATTTCACAATATTAATACTTTTCAAAGAAAATATCCCTACCTCTAAGGCTTTATATGCTAAATAGTTACACAGTTACCTAGAGATCATCTGAAACTCTAAGAAAGTAGACATTCTTAGTAAAAGGTCTATTTTAACAGGTGAAGTGGACAGAAAAGGTAAGTTTAGATCTGCCTTCTCTCCTTTCTTATTCCCAAGAGAAATGGAATGCCCACAATTCAAGGGTGAGGATAGAGCCAGGCTACCAAATTGTATCTACTTCACTGAGACGAGTCTGCCAGAAACCTCCCTTCGGTAAGATCACAGGTGACTGTTCAAATTAGCTAAATAAACAGAAGAGCTAGGGATCAACCCGGAGCTCCTATGTACTCAGCCTGGATCCCGCAGTTGCAAAGACGTGAGAACAAGGACATCTTCTGCAAATTACGTATCTTACCTTTAATGAAATGATGTAATTCAATTACTTGCTCAAAGACCAGAAAAATTCCCGGAAACGCCTGACCTCCGACACTCATTCTAGAAGGCGAACCTACACCAGTTGAGAGTAGTCACCCCTACGTTGGACCCGCACAGACCGGGCTAATCTCGGGCAGATCTCGAGTTTCTGCAAGGAGGGAAGCGTCTGCACCCTCCGCCCTCCCAGTGCCCCCGCACAGACCAAGCTCTGTTCTAGCGGTGGCGACCACGGCCGGGTCTGCACTACAACATAAAACGCCCAGGGCTGACTGGCATGCGGCCGGCCTTTCTGTTCCAGCACTGACCCGTTTCTCCACTGCCAGGGCATTTCCCCAAGTCGTGCTGAGCAAGCTCGCACGGTGCTCGTGTTCTGGGAGCTCCAGGCCTTCTCATGCCGTCTGTGATAACCTGGGAGAGCAAGTCAGCAAGGGGCCCTGACCCAGCCACGCAGGTGGCGAGAGGGGCCCTGGGGCTGTCTGCTTGCCTGCCTGAAAACAGGGCTCCGGTTGGAGGAGGGGATGCGGGCAGGGTCCACGTAGCTTGCGCCACAGGGAAAACACACACTGGCCCTTGAGTGTGGGTCCACTCGCACGCCGAGTTTTCACAGCACAGATCATCCACGGGATGTGGCACTGCCGTGTGGAGGGCTGAGCTCGGGACTTGAGTGTGCGCAGGTTTGGGACACGTGGGCACCGGAACCAACCCCCCCATACCCGGGCATGGCTGCACCCAAATATTTCTCAAGAGGCTGTGTTGAAATGGAGTAAAATTTAAAGAGCTTAGAAACGATTTTCCCATTACATTAGAGGTTACGAATCCTCACATCTTACGCAGAAAACACCGCCCCGTCTGTTTGTAAAAAGCAAACATAAACACAATGGATGAATTTTGAATCTTTAATAAAAATAAAAAAAATGAATGCAAAAAGAACACAATGTTGAAAACTTAGTTATGAATGTGAAACTTACTAGATGTTCAAATCTGGTATAGTGCAAATGTTGTTCATATTATTTTACATTTTTACAAATGCAAATCACTTTGGTTCATATATTTGCTGTAAACTATTGGCAAAAAAATTTCTTCAAATTTATATTTTTTTGGCTGCATTACTTCTAACAGATTTACTTCCAGTTTAAGAGAAAAAATACTTATTGTTTGTGCATGATCAAGTATATTTTAAAGATTCAGTTACTGGTTTCATCTAATAGCTTCTGGTTTTTCATAAAATGTTGACATCTTCATTGAAAAATGTTTTCACATAATAATCATTTCTTTACATTTTCAGAAAATTTATAAGGGATCATTCTAAAGTTCAGAATGATTCCATTTTCTTTTTTAAAAAATTCCTCTAAAACAAATTACCTTCAGTAACCTAAAATTTACTCCAAGATATTTTCCTCAAAACAAAACAAAATAAAAACCCCCAAAAAGGATCATCACGTAAATGAAACCAAACACACACATCGGCACTCACAGGCAAGTGAGCCTAGTTTCTATTCTGCTGACTGGTGACTTCTACTTAAAAGGAGTCTTTTAATCAAGCCACTTTCACAGAATTTAAAACAAACCAAAAACATTTAAATTGCAAAATACAAAAAGGCAAATTTGTTAAGTAAAAATTACTAAACCCACAAAACTGGAGTATTTCAAAAGACTAGGGCTCAGTGGAGGGTAAAATGATAAAGTAACTTTACAACCAAAGGAAATTATTGCTGAGTTCTGCCTCCATGCAGCACTGAAATGAATGGAGAACCCTTCTCTTGAACATCTCACACGTTAAGAAAAATAAATATTTAAGAGAATACAAGGCTCAGATTGGTTTTCATATACATTGCACTTGAAGTTTAAGACCCAATACTTGCAAATTAGGTCTAACATGGTCTATGCCATTAAATGAATACATTGTGCTCACCAGTATCATTGAATATTTAGAAACACCACATGTTTAACTGTAGTGACATATGCACTCTTCTTTTTACAAGGCAATCACAGATTGCAAATTCCATAGGGCTGTGGAAAAAAAAAATAGTTGCCTCTGTTCTGGAATAACAAACAAACAATTTGGCTCACTAAGATTGAAGTACACGGCAGACAGGTATTCATTCTCAGATGATTACATATTTTGGAACAAAAACTTCACAAATTGAGGTGAAAACTCCAATATATCACAGTGTAGAACTATGACTTTTCACTGCCTTTGCTCTCCGTAAGATTGTCTACACAAACTTCCACCGGGTAGAATGAAAAGCACGGTTCATTCACTGGCGACGCGAGCACACGCGTGGCCACATGCATGCACCACTGCAGCACTGACCATGGGTGACCATGAAGCACTGCCACCCCAGAGTGTGACCCCTCGACACTCACTGCTGCTTTTCTTCTCTCTCTCTCTCTCTTTTTTTTTAACACAACCCTATTTAAAAAAATCTTTTGGATAAATATGATTCCTATCACACCACACTGCATCTTTGTTAAGCACCATCAACCCATTTCCTTTGGGCACCGACAGAGAACTGACAGTTGGCAAGTCAGTCTTCGCTCAAGGCTCTGAAATATGGCAACTTGTTTTTAATCGCACGAATGAAATCTAATACTCGGGAAACGGCCACCTGCTTGAACCCCCAACACGCAGCCTGGGATAGAATGTTCCGGAGCACAGGCAGGCGTGAGGGCAGGCAGTCAAGGTAAGACTTCGGGGTAAGTAGTTGTTTTCTCCACTTGGCTACTCTAGACTAGGTGAATGTGTTTTCCAGGAGTCATTTGCACAGTCAGCCCCACCTAAACAGTATTTAGGAAAAAAAATCATCTTTGTCACAATCCGCTATCAGGTTTTCTCCCCAAATCTCGGCGACTCTCCGGAATCGGTGCGTTTGGAGCCTCAGTCGCTGTGTGGCTTTTCAGGAACACCCTATGTGGAAGAAAAGAAAAGAGAGAGAAAATTAGTAGTGCCCGCATAAACATTTTAATTATCGATCAAGTAGGCCCTAAAAGGTGAAGATTCCAAACTCCTGTGGCTGGAGGAATGGGACGGAGACGCAAGAGAAGCGCGGAAAGAGCCTTGGCTCGGCCGGAGCGTCGCGGCTGTGCGGCCAGCGCCACCCGCCAGGGCCCGCGCACACGGCGAGGCCGCCTCTGCCCTGCGAGGATCTGCCCTGATCTGTCACGTCGGATCTCGCTGAAAGTGCAACAAAATATTCGTATAAAAGAAACCCTCGATTTTATCAAAGCATAGCAATGCTTATGGGATGACAGTCACCCCTAAAAGTTCTACCTTACTACGACTGAGGAATCACACTCCTAACATCAGGTTATCTGCAGGGAGACTTCTGCCACGGACCTTTATGAACATCCGATGCCCGAGTTACAACCTACCTCACCGGCAGTTTGTTGAAAGAGACACTGAAATAGCCGCGTTCTATAACACCGGGTGACAACTCTACCCTAAACGCACACAGAGCTTCCCGGGCGGGATCCCCTTCTGGCCTCCGCTCTCGTTCAGCCTGACGCAGGCTCTGCGAGGCGGCCGCCGTGGCTGCTCCAGCTGCCCGCACCGCGGGGAGAGTCCTCAGCGCGGGACAGGTGTGTCGTCGATGGAGAAACAGACCCAAAGAGACCGAGTGACTTTCCTGAGCCCGCAGAGCTTCTACAAACGGGCAGAAGAGAAACCTCAATGCCTGTTTCTCCCCCGAACCTGGAGTGGTCCCACGTTAACCTCCCTCCTGGTGGCAGGTGTGCTTTGACACTAAGGAGCCGGCAGTGATGAAGATCACTTATCCAGAAATCGCAGATTCCTCACTTAAACAGACAGGCAAGACGGTCATGAGTTTGGGAGGAGTCACCCAGGAGTCTGGCATGCTGATCACTGCCCTAGGGTCGCACACAGTAACACCTTCTAGGAGACGTAAAGACTTCCGAGAATTGGTAATTTGAAAGTATTATAAAGTGTTAAATATGAACGTGGGGGGAAGGTTCGGAACAAACTTCAACTAGAGAAAACAAGGTAGCAAGCTCTTGCCAGCGACCTGGAAATAAAATAGGTCATCAAACGTTACTACGTGCCCGCTGAGTGCTGACAGACAAACGGACGACACTTAGGTCTGGCCTCAGTGCAGGGACACAGACCGCCAGGGACGAGGCGGCAGCCAGCCCGCGGCGGACGTGGCATCCAGCCCGAGAGCTTTCGCCTGCGCACGGCCGCAGAAGCCTGGGATGGCAACGTGGTCCCTCCAGCAAGTGCGGGACCCCACATGGGCGAACTGCAGGCGGGGCGGCGTGTTCAGAGCCCGCGGCACACCGACGAGAGCAGTCCCAGCTCCGTCCCTCCACCCGCTCGGGCAAGTAGTCCATCTTCCTAAGTTCGGTCTCCCCCACCTAAAAATGTGCTGATGATAGTTTCCACCTGGAAGTGCTGTGTTCCGAGGACTGAGTCGGAGAGCGATGGAAGTGTGTAGCACGATGCCCCAAGCAGCAATGGCACTGTCGCCAGCAGCAGCAGCTGACCTGCGGCGGGACGGGCTCTGCCACCTGACTGCTCTTGGACGCCTCACTCCTGGGAAAGGACCGGGGCACACAGAGCCACATCTGCACGTTCCGTCGATGACGGCTACAGACTCACTACTTTCTTTTAGACATACGGGCTGACAACAAAAGGGGCATCTTAAGGGAACTCCAACGGCAAAGCACGAGAGGGACGCCAAAGGCACCCGGCAAAACCTCAACAACAAAAACCCCACGGGCCTGAACACCACCAGATCTGGCGAGAGTCGCTCCCAGCGCTGAACGGAGTTTGAACCTCTTCACCTTCAGACTTTCAGCACCTGCGCGTGTGCCGGCCCCGCGCCAGGCCTTACTCGGTGTAGGTCTCACAAGAGCTCTTACCCACCGCCCGAGGTCCCCAGCCAGCTCCGGTCTCCCCCCAAGCAGTGCGGAAACAGCGGAGGGCGGGCCAGCAGGAAGGATGCGCCGTCTACACAACCTCCCTGGCGTCTACACAACCTCCCTGGCGCAGCAAAAACACGCACCAGCGACTGGCTCCGTTTTCAAGATGCTGAGCCCATTTCCTGGGTTTTAAGGATGGAAATCAGTTTTCAAACTTTGAACAGAAAAAATCATAGCTGGGATCTGGAGGCAAGGACTTAAGTTTTCTCAGGTAAAAACTGCGGTAGGTCGGGATGGCCTGGAGCCCCGGGAGCCGGTTTCACCGGAAGGCCCTCCCAGACCTAAGATGCAATGATAACGTCCACAAGCTTCTCCCCAAGTTTAGAGAATAAAAAGGACGAAAAGAAAGCTTAAGTAGGGAGAATTATAATCACAGCAACTGTGCTGTTTTCGGTCACCACTAACATTCTCACCGAGAGGATGAAGGGGCAGGCACGGATCACTGCACGGAACCATCTTCAGAACCAGCCTCAAAAGATGTGACTCGTTCAACACTTGGAAAATGTTCTCTCCAACTATTTCTAGATGTTCAGAACTTATGAATGTTGTGAAATTTCTATCTCTACCAAAATAATGCTTATTTCTTAACACTGATTTTAAAAGCCTTGATGTATAACGGCAGGCAGCCTCAAACTACGGCCCGTGGGCCACATGCGGGTATTTTTGCCCATTTGTTTTTTTATTTTAAAATAAGATATGTGCAATGTGCATAGGAATTTGTTCATAGTATTTTTTTATAGTCCAGCCCTCCAACGGTCTGAGGGACAGTGAACTGGCCTCCTGTTTAAAAAGTTTGAGGATCCCTCTATAATGGCATCCATCACCCAGGAAAAAACGTTATTCAAATTTAATTCTATAAGTAGTCGACCTGGTTCAGGATAATTTTATTTCCAAACACCTTAAGGATTTTCTGCCAGAGAGCACCGGAACGAGGCTCTCAGGGCGGGAGAGCAGTTGCGGAGGGCGCTGCCTGGCTCTACTTTGGAAACTGTTAGGGAAAGTTTACAAGTGGGGGAGCTGAGTGTGGGAAGAAAGCGGCACACCGCTCCCCGTGAGACCACGGGCCAGATGTCTAATATTAAAGAAAGTGAAAGGTCAGGCACGGTGGCTCACGCCTATAATCCTAGCATTCAGGGAGGCGGAGGCGGGAAGCTCACTTGATCTCAGGAGTTTGAGATCAGCCTGAGCAAGAGCAAGATCCTGTCTCTACTATAAATAGAAAGAAATTAGCCAAACAACTAAAAATAGAAAAAAATTAGCCGGGCATGGTGGCGCATGCCTGTAGTCCCAGCTACTCGGGAGGCCGAGGCAGGAGGATCGCTTGAGCCCAGGAGTTTGAGGTTGCGGTGAGCTAGGCTGACGCCACGGCACTCTAGCCCGGGCAAGAGTGAGACTCTGTCTCAAAAATAAAAAAAGAAAGCGAAGCCCTTTGACTCTCCATTAGGGGACACAGGAACGGGTTTCCGCGGAGGCTTCTGTTCTGGCAGGAGGCCTGCAGGGCGCCGCAGGGCCAGAGGAGAAAGATGCTTTAGACTCAGAGCCAGTGGAACGCGCCGCCATCCTACACTTTTGAAATTATTCCCATTTTTGCGAAACAGCCAAGCAGCCTTCAAATTCAGCTCCTCACAAATGGGTCTCGGCGGGCAAGAATAAACATGCTGTTAGAAAGCAGCATGAAGCACCAAGATAAGTTTTCTGAGAAAGGCCCAGGGGTTATCTCTGAGAGCAACAGCCCCAGCTGCTGTAAGTTCATTTTATTTAAGCCCTCCGGCCTAAGTCGCAGTGTTCAGATGCTAATTTCAGTCAAAGGCTACTTTTAAACATTTAAAAGTCCACAATTTTTTTTTTAATTAAAGTGTTCAGATGCCCATTTTTAACTACTGAAAACAACTGCTAAAATTATCCTTGAACTCATTTGCCTCGCCCCGCTCAGGAGGCGGCTGAGAGAGCCGTGCCTTGGGCGGCGGCTCCCCCCGCCCCCACGTAAGAGTGGGTGCCATCCTCGGTCAGGTAGCATGGCCCATCCCCACGGCAACCCTGCCACACGCTCTCACCATCACCTTCTCCGCCCAGGGCCACCTGCCCCTGCACGAGCTGTGCCTGCCTGGACCAGGCTGTCCCCTGCCTGCCCACGGCGCGCCCTGGCCCGAGACGGGGTCTCTGTGGCCTGGGCCCCGACCGTGGACCCAGGAGGCCCAGCTTCACCTGCACCCGCTCTGATCGTGTTAGAAAGAACACTGTCATTGCATAAGATCACCCAGATCTGTTTCTGATACCGGAGGAGGAAAGGAAACTCACCAACCAACCATCCCCTTTGGCCACTTTGGTGTCATTCCCTGCCAGCTACTGCAGTGTTAATAGTTCTGCAAACTCGGAAGAGCCACGGCACGTGCCTATAGTACGAAGGGGCTGCACTCGAACGCTGGTTCCTTTCTAACTCGAGTATTATGAGTTTACAAACCTATGGATCTTTACAATCTAGCAAAGAATTACCTTGGTATTGTTACCTATTTTTAAAATATATATGCTTTTCTCAGTGATTGTTGCTCTCAGTCTGAACTAGAACACACAAACACAAATCCTGATGTATCATTTGAAGCAATTATATCAAGCTAAAAGGACCAAAGTGCTGGGAGGCAGCGGGACTTCACTTACCATAGCCAACTGCCGTCCTATGTTTCCCACGGTGACGCCTCCTGAGAAGAATATGCACGGGAGCCAGGAGCGGATGTAGAGGAAATCTGGGGACGTGTACCTGGAGCGGGAAACAGGCTCGGCGTCAGTGCACCTGGCCCCACCCCACGTCAAAGATTCTCTTTACCGGGGATATACAGCATGCAATTAACCATGAAATGCTGCTAAAGGTGAATATTTGAGTATGCTTCACTGCTACTTCTTGGTTTTCTTGAACATTAAGTCATGGCTAGTGCATTTTTAACATGTGAGTTAAGAATAAGCAGAGTTTTTGAGGATTTCATGCCTAAATCCATGTCATTCTGTATAAAAACCAAATAAAATATGAAAATATCTAAGTTTAATGGATGTTTTAATAAAACTTAAGTGACAGTTTTCCAAAGGCAGGATCTGAAAGCACACACTTACTGGTAGACGCCGTTGTACACGAGAAACTGAGTGATCAGAGTAGCTAGAAAGGCAATGGTGATGCCGAGCCCAAGGCCACTTCTCGAACGGTCAAACGTCCACCAGAGGCCCAAGGACAGGGCTGCTAGAGTCAGGGACAGCTGGACGTTATTGGCAAAGTCCAATTTCTGGTGATGCAAAAGTTAAGGAAAAGTTTGGCAATTTCTAATAACATCAGAGACATAAAAAAGGCCCCAAGGGTTGAACACATGGGTTTTTACTCTTGTGCCACAGGCAATTCGCCGCCCGTGAGAGCTGCGCGGCGAGCTGAAGAAAGGACTTACCGGCTGACGCTCGCTGTCATGATTGACAGCATCGGTGCCCGGGCATCGCCAAGCCAAAGCTCACCTTTAAGAGTCACTTTCTGGGAGCTTCTACGTACAGTCCTGCTGGTGTTTTGCCCATCAAACAATACATTTTGCTATTAGGTCGTCACAGCCCCATCCTCCTTTCCTTCTCAAGGAAGCTGGGATGAACAAGCACTGCCTTCACGTTTGCCTCCCGGCGCCTACTCAGAATGGCCTTGGAGTGGGCCGCATAAACACTGAATACCCGTTAAAAGAGACGAAACGCTCCCCTGCGCACCCCGAGAACACGATCCAGGCGTCAAAGGATACGGCGCTGGCGTGGTTGATGCCCACGAAGACGGCGATGCAGCGCATGACGCTGGCCCACTCCCGCTTGAACTTGTGGGGCTCGCCCAGGCGGCTGTCGATGCAGGGGTACAGCAAGCCGACCACCGCTGCGGGGGAGAGCGGCAGAGTTAGAGCACAGCAGCAACGTTACCCAGCCCTTCTGACAGAGTGGCGCGTTACCCAGACCGGTCCTTTCCCTAGAAAGTTTATCAGCTATGACATAGTATTTACGATTGACGTTATATCCTCGTTCTCTGAGTACCCCCTAAAAATTGTACTGTTTTGAGAAGTTAAAAAAAAATCACTGTTATTTGGTTTAAACATGTTTCAGTAAACAGAAATGAATCAAGCAAGTATAATTAGTCCTATTACTAATATAAGTAGTGCTTAATTTTATATTTAATATCCATTTTTGCTTACAGTACACAAAAGTTAATTTAACTACACAATTCACCTAGTATTTCCAAGTTTGACTTCCATTTTGCAATGGAAAGGTGAGCGTCCAGGACACCTGTGGATGCAAGTCCCTCGCAGTCCTGACTTTTGCGCTGCCACCCAGCACTGGGGCTGCGCACGCGATGAGACACCTGCATTTCTGCTGACGTGACTCTCACGTTCCGGGTCACATGCCCACGGAGTGGCCCTGGACTTGATCTCAGGGGGCTCTAGCAAGGTGTCCAGAAGACATGCGCCCCTGCCGTGCACACCCGTGGGGCATGCCGGGCGGGACAGCCCCATGTCAGTTCCTCTCCTTCCTTAATTGGTCCCTGTGTGCAGCCCCCCTCCCCCACACCGTGGAAAGAGCACTGGACCAGGAATAGAAAACTTGGCCTCGAGTCCCAGTTGGCCCTCAGATGGGACGTGGCTCTTCATGTTTGTTTTCTCATGTGTAAAATTATGAGGATTATGTAACCGGAACGGAGAAGGAAGAGCTCACTGGGGTCTGGAATAGTTAGGAAGTCTTTACAGACATGGAGTTTAAAAGAGAACCTGGACAGACAGGAAGGCATGAAGCAAAATAGTAAAAACAGCGGCAGGACTGAACATCCACGGTGCGTGGGACAAGTTCCCCGTGCGAACCACACCCAAGGGCGAGGCTCGGAGAGGCCACGCAGGGCTGCACCTCAGCTGAGTGCGAACGAGGTGAGTGTTTAGGTTCTTCATCCAAGAAACAAGAAACACAGTGTTAGCCGAGCATTCAGATGAAAATGTGCAGTTTTCCATTTTATATCTCCTTTAATCAAGTTCTAACTTTGGAGTTTTGAAAAATGGAATCCTCCAAAATTAACTTTACTTCACTACAGCTTAATGTTACCTTTTAAGGCTAAACCAAAATATTTCATTTTTAAGATTAAGTTTTTGGTTCAAAGAAAGAAACTATTCTGCCAAATATGGGATAAAAATGAAATTTCAAATCTAGATATATTTCTCAAAAAAATGTTCAAATGAGCGCAGCCACATACCAAAAGGGCTCAGAGAAAGAGGATCCCATCTGAGAACAAACTCCCCAGTGCTGAGTAATGACAGAATCCCAACATGACGTATGCCCTGGCTGGGACACAGCTCTGTGCTACAGGGCTTCCTCCTCCTTGCTGTGTTCAGGGCGTCCACCCAGGCACCAGTGCTCCCACAGAGCCGTGGACACACCTGGCTGCAGGAGGCAGTGTGCAGAGTTAGGAACGCTGCTCGCTGTGCACCCTTGGACAGGACTGGCCTGCGATCCAGTTTCCACATCTATAAATGGACCTACCGCACTGTGTGGTAAGGAATAAACAACCCACGGCACACAGAGCCCTGGTAAGCAGGCAACACACATGTGGCCACTTAGGTACGTGTTTTCCCCACCAGATTCTAAGGCGCTTAAGGCCAGGGGCCTGTCTGCGCCCTTTTACATTTCAGCAGCTTGTAGAGCTGAGGCTGCAGAAAGGACCCACAGGTGCTGGTTAAATAAACAAACGCTGTGTGAGCAGACAAGCATCCAGCGATCTGCTGGGCCAAGATCACTCAACATTTTATAAAACCAGCTAAATGACAACAAAAAAATTCTACTAAAAACAAAAGACAGCAGTCTCCCTGTCCCCAGTTCAGGCTGCCCTGTGTTAGGTTTTGCAGCATCTATGCAACCGGCTAGGTGCAGGAAAATCTACACTCTCAAGGGGGTTGCTCTTTTCCTTATGACTTTACCCACAGTGCTGAAGCAGTCCAGGGGAAAAGCCTTGGCTCTGGGCCACGGTTTACTCAGCGATCCTGCAAAAGGAAGTGCTGAGAAGTTGCTCCCCTGGCAACCGCCCCTGAGCACACGTGACGATTTGTTTTCGGTTATCCGGCAGAGTAGCGTGTTCCCCGGCGCGGCCAATGGCCACGCGGCCCCGCCGCTCACCAGTTCTCCCGCGGCCAATCCCCGGCAGCCCTGCTGGGTGACAGCGCGCGGCTGTCCCCACTCCGGAGGGAAGGGACCTCCGCCGGCTTGGCCCGGCCTCTGCGGACGGCCGCTTATCTCCTGCCCATCTCCATCACCCGCTCCGTCCTGCAAGTCCCAGCAGCTGCGCCAGGGGCGCGCAGCCTCCCGCGCTGGCCACCCCGTGTCTCGCCCCAGAGCACCCCGAGACGCGCTTTGCATGTCTCCAAACACGCGGTCCCCGCGGGCGCGGGCCGGGCACTCACCGGCTGCCGTCCCGCAGCAGGGCGGGACCCACCAGGCCGAGGAGAAGACGGTGGCCATCACCTCGTCCGGGAAGAGCGTCACGTTCCTCTGGATCTGCAGCAGGTTGAGCACCAGGGCCAGGCCCACCCCGACCAGGAAGAGCACGAGGCTCCGCTGCACCAGGTCGTGGTGCCAGGCGCCGGCGCCGCGGTCCCCGTGCGCGGGCCGGGAGTCCCGGGCCGCCGGCGGGGCGGGGCCCGGCGCGGACGAGCCGACCATCGCTGCGCCCTTGGCCGCCAGCCCCGCGCCGGCTCGCGGGCGGCCCCCGCGGCTCTCGCGCTGCGCGCAGGGACAGCTCCAGAAGCGGTCGTGCAGCCTGGGCATCGGCCGCCGGCCCGAGCGCGTTCCTGCGGGGCGCGGTCAGCGGGAGCGCTCCCGGGAGACAAAGGGCCGGGGCCACGCGGGCGGGACCCGGACCCCGCCGCGCCCCACGGCGCGCGCCCCGCAGGACCCCCCGGCCGCGCCCCGCCGCCCCGCGCCCGCCCGCCCGTCCCCGGAGCGCTCGCGCCGCGTCCAGCGCCTACCTGGCCGAGGAGCCCGCCCGCGGGCTGGCCGGACGGAGGCGGGGCGGCGGGAGGAGGAGTCACGGCCCGGGACGGCCCCAGCAGCGGCCGCGGCGCCGGGAGGGCGCGCGGGCTTATATAGCGGGCCGAGGGCCTCGCGCCACGTGACCCGGCCCGGCCTACCCGCCGCCCGCGCGCGCCGCCTGGGGGGCGTGGCCTCGCGGCGCCCCGCCCCGCCCGCGCGCCCGTCCGCTCTCAGTCTGGTGAGGCGGCCGCGGCCAATGGGAGGCGGGCGGGCCATATGACGTGACACGCGCCACCGGCGGCCCGCGCGCTCGGCCGCGCGGCGGGGCTGAGGGAGCGCGGCGGGGCTGAGGGAGCGCGGCGGGGCCGGGGAGGGCGGCCGGCCGGGCTGAGGGAGGCGGGATGACGGGGCCAAGGAGGGGAGGACGGCGGGGCAGCCCCACCCCCGGCCCGCCAGGCCGTGGGCGCGCTCGCCCGGGTGGCCGCCCCGCCGCGGGGCCCTGGCGCCCACCTGCCCACCTGCCCACCGTGGGTGTCGTCAGATCCTTCCTGGACATTTCACTCCTGCAGTAATGTCCTCCGGCTGCTCCTGGGCTCACCTTTGGGAAGCAGACCATCAAAACCGCTCGGGGTGGGGGTGGGGGATGAAAACAAAAGAGCTGACACTGGGCCGGGAAAGGAAAGGTCGCTCCATCCGGTGTGTAACGCGTGTCTGTGCCGCTTGCCACGTGTCCCACCTGCCAGGGGAGGCCCGTGCCCGAGCAAAACCCACCTGGTGCTGAGCAAGGTCCTCTCCAACGACAAGAGAGGAAGGGTGTGTGGTCTTTCCCTCTGCAGGTGAGCAGAGGCTGAGAGCAAGTTTTGTGCTCTAAATAGCAACTCTCGGCCAAGAGACCCCACGGGCTGGGAAACTTGGGTCACACATACCATGTGGCAATACGAAATGCCACTGTGTGTGGCATCGTCCTCGTTAAGGTTTGTGGCTGCTATATGTCAGAAGTTTAAAAAATATAGGCCAGGTGTGGTGGCTCACGTCTGTTATCCTAGCACTCTGGGAGGCCGAGGCCAGCGGATTGATTGCTGGAGGTCAAGAGTTCGAAACCAGCCTGAGCAAGAGTGAGACCCGTCTCTACTATAAATAGAAAGGAATTAATTGGCCAACTGATATATATAGAGAGAAAAAATTTAGCCGGGCATGGTGGCGCATGCCTGTAGTCCCAGCTACTCGGGAGGCTGAGGCAGGAGGATAGCTGGAGCCCAGGAGTTTGAGGTTGCTGTGAGCTAGGCTGACGCCACGGCACTCACTCTAGCCTGGGCAACAGAGTGAGACTCTGTCTCAAAATAATAATAATAATAATAATAATCTTCCTGAGGCATGAATATTTCTCCAAGTTCATTTTAGGGAGCAAAATTCACATAAATCTGGCTTATTTCTTGAGCATGATGCACAGCATGGGAGTGGGTGGCCCGGAGAGTTCCACGTTCACCCTCCCTTTGTTCTGGGTGGAGCAGAGTCAGGCTTTTTCCTTCTGCGTGTATGTTCCTCTCTAAGCCCTGGTAAAGCGTTACAGACTTTGCTCCCAGGGATTCGAAGCAGTTTTGACTTCAAGGAATATTGTGATTGGTGTCTTGGCGACTGTCTACAGACCATCTTGCATAAGTGCATGAAGATTACACACACACACACATTTTGTCATAGTAAAACAGAAGACTTAACTGTAACAGGAAAAAAAAAAAGCTGCCCATTTTTCCACCGGTAAGAAACTGGTGAGATAAAAGTGATGGTACATCTGTACAATGGGGTGCTGTCTAATTGAGAATCATTTGTACAATGGGGTGCTGTCTAGTTGAGAATCTTGCTTGTGCCGTGTCCCCCTGCCCTGCTGTCATGGTCCTGTCCCACACATGCCCATAGAGGAGCACAGATGGAAATCAAGCTGCTAACCTGATGGAGATGCATCTGCATTTCAGCCTTGACCCTGAGATGGAGGCATGTCGTGGATTCAGTCACGAAACACCAGCAGATGTGGGCAGCTCCTCTTCAGCACTTCAGCACATGAGCTGTAACACCTGGGTTGTCAGGTGTGGGAGACCCAGCGGGCAGAAGGCGGAAGCTCCTGGCTGACCTATCGGGCTGCTGCCTGTAGTCCCCTGACATCACAGAGGTCTGCTGGGGTCTAAGATCTATTCAGGTTTATCTTTTTTCTGATTTATCTTTATTCAGATTTATCTTTTATCTTTTTTTCCTGCTGTTCTGCCTGCCATGTAGACCACGGGGTACTTCTTTCAGCTGTCATAGCCCTTAGGCACAGGTGCCTGTCTTGTAACAGTATTTTAGGGAGTTCCCTGTTGCTTGTCGCAGATGTGGAGAGGGGCCACCAATTCCTTTCACTGACTGGTTTATGGAAAACTATTCATTTGTTACTTTTTCCTCTCTGCCCCAGCCAGTGTTCGTACAGCCCAGCTTCTCTCCGTCCTTGCCCTCCTCTGCTCTGTACTGGGACACCGTGAACCTGGGACCTCCCTGGGCCGGCGAGGTGCCCCGGGGCTGCTCCCCACACAGACCAAGCCGTCTGTGGAATGCGGGAGAGACGCCCCCGGGCGGTGCTCTGTGGGTTCCCTGCCCCGGGCTGGCAGCACAGCCTCAGCCTCTTACTCTTCGGTGGAGCTCGGTCACCCAGTTCCCGGCGTGTGGGGTTCACCTGAACACCTGCGGAGCCGGGGCCCATGAATGAGTTTACTCTCTCGGGGACCGCAGCCTTGATATCAGAAACCCTACTCAAATATTTCGAGGGTTTGGGGTTTGGTTATCCTCAAGCGAGGCTGTTATTGATTTAGTTTCTCTATGGAATGTGGGCTCCATGTGGAAGGCAATGTCCTCAGCCCCTGTCACTCAGACTTAAGCATTTAGGCAGATGTGGTCACAGTGGTGGCGGCATTTAGTTCTTCATTGCTCGACTTTACATCAACCGTTACACGTGTGCCAGGACTCTGGGAAAGTCCGCTGTTGTCTGTGAACTAAACACCTTCTCCTCCAGTCACTAAGTGGCCCTGGGAGCCGTGGCCTCTGTACCGAGCAGGCTGCTGGAACAGGGCACACGAGACTGCTGCAGCCCTTGGGGACACAGAGGCATCACGAGATCACGGGGGGTCTAAGGGCCTCGAGATGCACATGGTGAGCGATCTACTTGCCTTCGGCCTGCGTGCCTGCTGTTCTTTCTGTGATCACATCAGTACCCATTGATCATAAATAGTTTTAAAATAGAGTAGACTCCTAAATTTATTTATGTTAATTTTTAAATTTTTTTCTGAGACAGAATCTTGCTCTTTCGCCCAAGCTAGAGTGCAGTGGGATCATCATAGCTCACTGCAACCTCAAACTCCTGGGCTCAAGCAATCCTCCTGCCTCAGCCTCCCAAGTAGCTGGGACTACAGGCGCTAACCACCACGCCCAACTAGTTCTTTGTTTCTATTTTTAGTTGTCCAGCTAATTTTTTCCATTTTTGGTAGAGATGGAGTCTTGCTCTTGTTCAGGCTGGTCTCAAACTCCTGAGTTCAAATGATCCTCCCACCTCGGCCTCCCAGAGTGCTGGGATGACAGGCGTGAGCCACCACACCCAGCCTATTATTTTTTAATACAAAAGCATCACATGCTTATTGTAAAACATTCAGAAAATATGGAAAAATATGTCTTAAATAAATCATCTACAAGCCCACCACCTACAGATAACCACTGTTAACATTTTGGGGTATGTATTTACAGATATTTTTCGTATATATGAGTGTATATGCTTCTTAAAAAACACAAATAGGATCACACATTGCTTGTGGTGGAACCGGTTCCTAAGTGACCTCAAACATCTTTCGAAGGCAATCAATTTAGACTCCGTCATCATTCTTTAGCAGCCTCATTTGAGAGCGAATTCATGTACCATGAAAGTCACCCACCGAAAGTGTACAATTCAATGGTTTTTAGTCTAGTCACAGAGTTGAGCAACCATCAGCAGGCGATTTTAGAACATTTTGTTCACCACAGGCATTCCAGGCATGCGGGAGATGAGGTAGAAGGGGTTGGTTGGGCCAAAGCCTGAGTGACACACTCAGTAGCCAGCCTTTATCCTACTCCCTGGGGGCTGGTGTCTCCAAATCTTCTTTGATCATCTTTGTTCCTGTTGGTTGAAGTTCAGCATGTGCCCCTGAATACGTATATTGGTGCATTTATAGATTACTGTGCTAATGCCGTGTATGCACTATACAATGTATAACAAATAGAGACTGAGTTACAGAGCCTCCTGAAGTTTAGCTGGACATGGGCCCCAGCTAGAGGCTGCCCTTCTCAGCCCCCTTGGCAGCCAGGAGTGGCTGTGTGCCTCCATGTGGGCCAGTGGGAAGTGAGCAGATGGGATGTGT